CTCTCTCTCTCTCTCTCTCTCTCTCTCTCTCTCTCTCTCTCTCTCTCTCTCTCTCTCTCTCTCTCTCTCTGTGTGTGTGTGTGTGTGTGTGTTGTTTTAAAAGACCGCAGATTTTCTCTCTCATTCCCTTCACAAATCATCACAAGCCATCCATAACGAAAAAGTTAAGATAGGCAATAGAATAAAAAATGCAAGGTTGGCCGCATTTGTGTGGTTCAGCGCCAAGTGCCCACACACCCGTCTGCTGCCAAAGCGGCACACTTGCACATATACATATGTACACATATATATTTCAAACCAGAAAGGGATGGAGGGCAGAAGGCAACTTACCTGAGACGGAAGACTACTCCAGCAAGAAGCCACCGACCCGACCCCCTCAAAGGTCCAAAAAAACTTGGAGAGCCTTCCCCATCGGCCCACAAAACCCAAAACTCATCAAATATAACAGCATTGGCATTCCCGACATTCATCTCAAACTACACACTCACGTCACTGCCAAAGAGGAGGAAAAAGATAAGAGACAACTTACCTAAGACAGAAGACTCCTCCAGCAAAAATCCACCGACCCCCCCTGCTAAGGGTCCGAAAAACCTGGGAAAGCCTTCCACGCTCGCACACAAAACATACATTCCCCCCAAAGAGAACGCGTGGCCACCCGCAAACATCCAAACAGCCCATGCTCTAAAGCAGGGCAAAGAATTAGGTCGTGTATGTGTGTGTGTCTCTGTGTCTCTCGCGCGCTCGCTCACTCGCTCACTCTCTCATGTGGGGTCGCATGCTCCTCCCTCCCCTCTCCCCCTAGTCACACACACAGCTGACATCCTTGCGCAGGGTCCATGTTTATCTTCTGTGTAGTGTCCCTGTTTTAACATATGTCCTGAGTGACGTAAAGGCAAGCCTTTCATTTCATCCACTTATACAGGTTTGCCTCCAGCAGTGAGATTCAGTCCACGAGTTTGTAGCAGCGCTGGGATGTGAACAGCAGGATTGCAGATGTCATACCGTGAGGAGCACTGCTGTCGACTGCAAGCTCTCAACCGCTGCTGCTAAAAGAGCTAGAACCTCAGTTAGGAATCCACATGCATTCCGTTGACAAATGCATTCACGTGCTTTTAGTTGCCAGGTTCATTCAGTAATGAGGTTTCTGCGTAGGAATGCACATGTGCATTCAGCTATCCCTAAGGAGCTGAAGCAGCAATGACAAATGGCATGGTAATTAAACCACCAGTCCACCTGCCGCTCTGAGAATCGGCCTACCGGTACCCACAGGGAGCCAAAAAAGTCTGCCGATTTTAAACCGGGAAAGCCCTGATAGTTGTGGTGCTCCGCTAGGTCAAGCCCTGATAGTTGTGGTGCTCCGCTAGGCCAAGCCCTGATAGAGGTGGACTTGCCAGCCGAAGAGCTCCGCTAGGTCGAGCTCTGCTAGTTGTGGTGCGTGTACGCAGCTGCATTGGAACAAAATAGCCAGGAATTTTGGGGAACGTACTGGTGGTTATAATTGTTTTTTTCCCGACATTATTAGCACTGAATCTACAACCCTGATTTTTGGCAGATTTTTCATCACCAATTCAGAGCATACTCACACTAGGACTCTTTTTACTTATTTTTTGATGTAACTGCGGCCAGATACATCCACGTCTGGCTGTAAATGTGGTCAGATACATTTACGATGGTGCTAGTCTGAGTACGGCCTCAGAGCGTGGAAAATTTTGCAAAAGCGCACTAAAAATTTTGCAAACAGCCGCAACTTGAGGATACCACGGTCCAGTCTCTCGGGACATCTGTTCAAATTGGAATGATTTTCAGAGAAGATTAGCATGGTCCCTGCGTAAAGGGTGAAACCGTGACACACATAAATAGAGACATGGTCCGAATTCTTTTGCGTTATGTCACCCCATCCCCCACCCTTCTTAAAAAAACAAAAAGGATTGCGGTGGTCGGACTCAGTCATTTAAGAATTTTGCAGTTCGATAAATGGAGAGCATTGAGAAGGAATCCACACGTGCTCAATCACTAATAATTGTACTACAAAGGTGTTTCCCGGCTGAGTGACCGATGCCATGTACGTTTGTTGAATAAGGCTAGAAAATAGTAGACAGCAAAATCAGTGTGATAATGCATAGCATAGTAAGCATACAGTATTGTACAGAGCAGTACGATTTCTGGAAGACGATGAATATTTTTACATGGCTACGATCCGGAAGTCCCGACCACCGTCCAGACGGTCTGGATTCAGTCCAGACTCAAGACGTCCGGATCTGCCAAATTTCAATGGAAAAAAGAAAAAAAAGACTCAGGACCCTTCCCCACTGAGGAGCCAAGCGCCCATAATTGTTTTGGGGCTTTTTCAGGGCCGTTTTTGTTTTTTTTTGGGGTCCAAACGTGGTCTGTCTGTATAATAATTTATTAAATTATTATACGTATTACGTTAATTTACGTACCCGTTTTTTTAGCTTTTTCCGATTATTAATAATTGATTACTTTTTAAAAAGTTTGTTTTTTGTAGTTTTTGACTTTTAAGTTTTAACTCAAGTTTGGTTAGAAACTCCGACTTTTGACTCTGCGGCAAAATAAAAGTGGTTTGTATTGTTATTCTGCGTAACATACTTTTTTGTCAGTTTTTTTTTTTTTTTTCTCCAGACCTGCTTACTGGTCCGGGCCGTCCAGAACCACACATGTCCGGAGGTCCAGATGTGTCCGGAGGTCCGGACGTCTGGACCCGACCGGACATGCGTCCGGTCCCCAGACATGAGCTGTCCGGGTCCAGGTCCGGGTCCAGCGTAGCCATGATATTTTATCGTATTCCAGATTGACTTCATCTCAAACGCCAAACTAGTTCTCCCCGGAGTCACAAATGAAGATCGGTCCCTAAGGAAGGTTCATAAGGGAGGGTGCAGTACCGTACACTAGTTGACAGTGGCTGGTTATTCCGATACCGATAGCATTGCATGACGGTACGTGTGTGGCTGCTGCCGGATGTGGAACCGTCCGCACATTGTGCCTGCAAAAGTGTTTAACATATTCAACTGTCAAGTTTCTATTTGTGTCGACAATTGCCATTAAGTAGTGCAGAATCCATTAATTTCACGGTGGTTATGGGATGTCATGCAACAGAGTTCCCTACTGTATAGGTAGAGTGACAAAGTGCTTGGAATTGACAACAGGAAATGCCAGTTGTGCTAGACCCAATGGAAAAAAACTGAATCCGCATTGGTTTGTGGATTTGGGATTAGAGCAATTGCCAATTAGAGTAATAAAGCAGGGGCAACAGGGTTCTCTGCATAGGATGACCAGCCACACAGCTCCCGCAATAGACGATTTGAAATGCCAATGCCGCTCGTGCTGCACCCCAAGGAAAACTCAATCAGTACCGGTTTCTTGACTTGGGTGGGGTAGACTAATGAGGCCAACAGGCCTAGCTCAGTTGGTACACCTACAAACTTTTGAAATACAGACCCAAGATTGAATCCAGAAGCAAACCTGGAGCCAGTCAGTTCAATGATTGATGATATCTCAAGTTCGTCGCCCTTTCGAAGAAAGAAAAAAGGGGGAAAGGAAAAAGGGCTGAGGCCCATTGCCTGTAAACATGGCAGGTTAATGTCATTTCGTGCCAGTCAATACCACTGGGCCGCCGCCCTGCTTTTTTTAGTGTTATTTCAACTTATTCGCTATGTTGGGCCGTCGCCCGGCCCAGCCCGGCACGCCCGGGCCAATTGGGCAGAGGTGGGTTCGCCCGGCAAAACCAGACGGGTCAAAAAAGAGGCAAGGTTGAAGGATCGCCAAAAAAAAAAAAAAAAAGACTTCAGGCCAGGACTGCGCTTGGCCTAAGCAGTCAGAATCTGGTCTTAACTTCGGTCTTGGTGATGGGTCATACTGGGGGTAGTGGGGGGTTTGGGAGGTATAAATTTACTATACACAGTGACTAAAGGAGTTAAAAGTGTACATTTGGACTCATGTTTTCTCATTTATTTCTATCTTAAAATTAACAAGGAACTTTGAGGTGGCCCTCAGCCAAAAGTCGTTTGTATTGCAATTTTACACAACATATTTGTTTTTCGGATTTTTTTTTTCTTTCTATTTTTTTTTAAATATTATGCGCTGGGATAGCCCGGGACCCTGCCCGGTCCCTGCGCGCCCCAGGCCGCCCGGGAGGGCACCTGGGCGACCTTCCCCCAGCTGGGCCGCCCGGGGACTAACACAGCTTATTTGGGGTTTCAACGAAATGTGAGACAGGGTACCAGCAAAAACCGCGGCGAAGTATGTAATGAACCGGTTTAAGGAGACTACTATTTGGTAATACCGGGTAGCCGCTCGGATTCCCGGACAGTGGGCATGCTGTCCAACTGCATGGCACACCGTGATTTCGGCAAAAACTAGGCCATTACCAGCCCATATGGGGCCTCAGCCTGAAGGTTTTCAACGTATTCGAATAGCTGTTGTGATCCTCTTTCTGCATTACCCAGTTTTGGTCCGGACAGTGGGGCTCAGACCTAACCAAAGTTAACCAAGGGCTAAGACTTCTGTCCCTCAATATTCTACCATGCACTCACTCGCCCGTTGCCTTGGGGACCTTTGAGGCTTATCTCTAACGACTTCGGGCATGGTCAGCTCCCATAGTGTGACGGGCGGTGTGTACAAGGCCCGGGAACGGATTCACCGCCGTATGGCTGACCGGCGATTACTATCGATTCCGCCTTGATGCAGGCGAGTTGCAGCCTG